CCGGTCGCAAATGCCCTGCGACCGGTCGCTGGTCCTAAATTTAGTATCCTTTATGCGAGCCAATTTTCCAACAGATCCACCCGAGAAATTCAATAGAATGTAAGAACAACTTGGTTACAATCAAGAATCCCCTTAGCTCTCACGAGAACCCTAGCTCTCTTTTCTCTCACCCTTACTCTCACCATTGTGCCTATTTGGAGAACAAAGTGGAGAATCAATAACAAAAGGACCATTCCCTCTACTTGAATCCCATTCTTGGATTCAAGATTCACTCCAAGGTTAAGCTCACTCTTTACCTTCTCTCTAATATGTGATAGTGAGTGTCATAGGTGCATACTTTCATAAACCTATAAAGATTGGGACCTAAGATGAGATATGCATGAACCTCTAGCTATTTCCTTGCTTCCGCTTCATTTGATTTCATATTTGATATGTATACGGTTGGTGGTTTATTCTCTCATAGCCTCTTGGGATTTAGAAATCCCTACACCTAATTTTCAGTTCACCTTCTTCCTTCCACGAATCAATGGTGAGTTAACTCAGCATGTCATTCATATATATTCTCTGAAAACCTTGCAGAGTCACTACGAAAAGCTCCATAGCCTAAGCCCCTGCTTTCTTGCATGACCAACACATTCACCATTCCATCCCAGAAATCTGAAGAAGCAAGCATGTCACCAATCATTCCCAGCTCTGGATGCTCCACAAATTCCACCATTTCTTCATCCCTCAGCGACATCTCCATGTGTCGCCGCCCTACCATGACAAGGTCATAATTGCCTTGCAACTTCTTAATGGCACTCATAGCTTGTGCACTGTCATCCACCTCGATATCATGCCAATTCAGGCACTCATCCCCGGTGTTCGCCAGCTTAAACTCGTAGATCAAAGACTGGTCGAGCTTGGCCTCTATTTCCTCCTCTTGGTTACCTCCTTCTAGTTTACTCCGCAAGATTATCCGCAAAACTGTCATTCTCACGTCCGGATTGCCAAACATCCGTGCTGCGTAGGCCAACGCCTCACGGTCATCTGCTCCACCAATGAAAATCACCACTACATTGAAGGAATAGTATGTCGAGCTCAGCTGACAAGACAAGCCTCGGTCAACAAGTATTCCCACTGTACATGGGGAATTTGTTTGCACATTGATGTTGAATTGGCGTATGGGAGCAATCAAATTGTGGTCAACCGTACCCCGGTGATCATGGAATGGTAAGATAATAAGAGGTACAACCTTGTCATGCGCAAGACGGAGAATAGTGTCATGCATGCTTTTGTAGGAAGCGATCATATTGTAAGCATGGATCGTGACCGGTCCTCTGGAGTTTTCTGAGTAATTCTCAAAGGCTCGCATCATTTGATGGATTGATGATGATGCATTTGTGTGCTCTAATCTCTTGTAAGGGATTAGTAGAGGCGCGGCACGCCCCATCAGCTCGACTGTGTGGACCATGTAGGTGATGATGGGGCTTGCTTGCGTCGGGTATGAGGCTTCCAGGAGGTTAATCAGGTTGTGGATGCTTTCTTGGTTGTGAAAGCAACAAAGAATGCGAAATGTTTCGGAGTTGGTTGGCATTGACTGGATGCTTTTGAAACCGGGATGTTTGGTTGATGCTGATCGGAGTCGGATTTTAGGGTTGTATGATAACTGTAGCAATGGTGTCGCGACCAGGGTCACCCCCAGCATAGACAACACTATTTGAGTAAAAGCTTGTTCATCTACGAGCTGCAATTGAAATATTAACTTAGAATCAAAATTCATATGTATATATTGTATGGTGGGATATATTATACGGAAGTGAAAGAAAAAGGGAATTAAAGAGTTTTATTTACCTTTGTGGCCCTCCATCGAGAATAAATAAGAACGTCTATTATACCCTTGATGCTCATGGCTATGCTGAGCTTTAGACTATTTTTAAACCCGATTTTGCACCACATTGCGGCCGCTACAACTGCCACAATCTTTGAAACATACGACACGACAATGATTGACTGAAGTATGGAAAAACTCGTCCAATCGTGAATCGAAAACACATTGAGTCTGTAT